AGCATTTATCCCAAAGAAGACTTATTACATACCGATCGATAGATCTCATCGAGCTCTATCTAGGTAGGTAATGTTTGATCCATTTTAACTTCACTTGAATCTCTAAAAACCCTATTTCCGCCACCAAAACCGTATGAAAAACGGTTTTCGACGAAACAAACAAGTGAAAACGTATTTTAGTGTATTTATCACTCATTTTTTTGTCTATCGGATTCACCAGTACTATTTAGAGCTCTCTACTTCGCATTCCAGTCCCATTTACACGTTGAAAAATCAATGAATATTTTTTTCTACTTCTGTTCTCGTTTAATATCGATTAACACGCTTTCACGAAAAGTACACCTATTTACAAAGTTCAGAAAAAAAATGTTCTTGTTGAATTAAATCATCTTCGCAATTTAATTATGAAATTTGACGTTCAATTGTTTTTCTTTTTCATTCGATACATTTTTAGCATAAAGGGTCCCATCTTTTTTTGCTAAAACTTCATGAAATTTTGCCGTTCCTTTGATTGTGGATAAAGCTGGAATTGTATCTTTCAGTTTTTGAATATCTTCCTTGTCATAAATATAAAGTTTAATATCAGTGTTGTTTTGAACTGCGTTCATTAAACAAGACGCATTTAAGTAAGAAATATTTTTTTATCGCTTCAGAGCAGAAAGACAGTTTTTTCATTGGGACTTTTCTTATGGTTTTTAGCTACTTTTGGAAGGACTTTAATGTGCCTAGTTTTACTCGCCACTTCAAGTCGAGTCTAGCGATATATAATAAATGTATATTTGAGTGATCCTAGCTCGAAAAAATATCGAAAAAATGTTACTCTACATTTTTCTTAAAAAAATGTTACTCTACATTTTTCTTAAAAAAATGTTACTCTACATTTTCTAGTATCATGTAAAGTTTTGCTAGAAGGAGGGGTCGTATAACGCTGAAAATTTTATCTGTAATACCAAAACAAATATCATTCATCGAGAAAAAGTTTCAGCGAAGTCGCATTAGTATTTGTCGAGTTATGACCGAAAGAAGCTTGAAAATGTTACTCTACACGATGAGTGTAAACGGAATTTTTCAAAAAGTAGTTTCCTGTTTCTCAAAAATGAGAAGAAAAAGTTACCAATTTTTTTTGTTCGTTTTGTAGCAAAAATCAACGTCTTTCTTTTTAGATATGGACTGAGTCTTTTTTTTATCGTACACCGATCGCTATTTACCGTTTTGTGTTACTCTACAAAAAATCGAGAAAATGACTGTAATATAGATTTGAAGACAAATGAGTAGGAAAAAGAGAGAAAATGTAGAAATGAAATATATGCTTCGATAATTCCTCACGTGCTCTACAAAATGGCTTATTTACATTTTTCTTTCTTTCCTTTCCTTTTCCAAAAATTATATTTTTCCTGAAACAACTAATTGAAAAAATGTGTTTTTTTGCCTTAAGATACGTTTAGCTCAAGGAAGCAATCAGCCACTGAGCTGAAATTTTCTGTGGTAGTAAGCCGAAGTGAAAGGAGTAAAATAAAATAAAAAAATTTGAAATTTGGTTCACAACAGCCAAAGTTATAATGAAAATACACTAAAAAAGCAAAGGTATAATAAAGTTGCAATTGACTCATATATATAATCAGATATATCATTTTGACAGAAATTGGAGATATAGTCTAGAATATAAAACTATTCATTAAAGTCGTATATTATTCTAACCTACGATAGAACACAAAAGAAAAAGTGTCATTGTTCTAAGATACTTTTTTCTTCTAAAACAAATAATCTTTGTAAAGTCGTATTTTCTGTTCTATTTGAGTGAAATAAAAATGTTTGATTTTGGTTAAACCAAGTGTTTAAATTATCAATATTGTTTATGCTAAATGTCTTCTATACGAAAAATGTACTTAATCACAGGTTACTCGACATAGTTTTTATATACTAAGTCTTTTCATGTTGACAACTTCTGACACCATACTAAGCTCGAAAGATGAAGAGAAAGTGGATCCTTTGTTTTATAAAACTCGCGAATAAGTCAATGCTTAGTTCACAAACATAGAAGACTTATACAAAATGAGATTTCCTTCAAGATGTAGGGAGTTTGAGATAACACATCTCTCTATTAAATCTATATTAATGACTCTTTCTATCTAACAGATGATCTTTTGTTGATTGCTTCTTGTTGTTTAGTTACTACCTTAGAGACAATCGTTATTAAAATAGATACTTAAAATATTCTCATATAAGATAAATATCATACTAGATCAGCATGACTTTTATCAAGTTTCAAGTCTTATAAATCAAACTTCAAAAGCGCTAGAGTTAACTGTAGAAAAATAACTTGAATTTCTACTAGAAAACTCTTCAAGTACTTTCTTTTGACATACAGTGACGTTTTGTACTCTAATGAAGTATGGTTGTAAATAGCTTTTATTTTTTACAGCTGACACAGCTGACATTTTTCTTCTTCATTTACACTTTCACAACAGGCCATATTAATTCTCTATGTAGGATAAAAGTGCATATAATAAATAAAATTAGAAAGTTCATCTGTATATATTCGATTGAAATGTTAGTGGTATGAAATATCCAGATAAGGGATAAATAAAAATAATTTTGATCATTCAAAATTAGAAGAAGAATCAATATTTTTATCTGCACTACTCGACGTTTTCGGACATCGTTCTTTTCAGCTTCTTGTTTTTCTTGATTGATCGATGAAAATTCTTTTTAATCTTGAAGTTCAGGCAAAATTCTTTTCAACAGAAAAGAAAAAATATTCTTGGTTGAGATTCAAGACGAAAAGTACTTTGTCGGATTGATAAAAATACGAAGAATCACGAAAAAATTACAAGATATCTAAGTTTCCTTGAAGTTCAGACAAGGTGCTTTTTTTCCCCATTAAAAGATTATTATCTCATCCTCAAGACACGTAACATGCGATGTCTATGTGATCACATACATATGTATTCGAACATCTGAACGTTAGTGTTTCATTTCTATGAGATGATAGTTAATATTGATTGTGTTCAATTTTTATGTTTTTTTTGCAATGTGTTTTATTACATCTATGGATACTTACAATCGGAAACACCTCTATTGTGTGTAAGACAGTTGTGTATAAGATAACACTGATATAAATATCATTCATGTCTGCACCTATCCAAATACGTTGACACCATCGACATATGCAATTTATATCAATACTTCTCTTCGTATCATCCAACCATTTTCGAATCGATTCATTATTTGAAGCAATATACAAATTTCCTCGAGTATCAACAAATACATGTCGAACATCTCCTTGTCACAAAGTGCGATCTTCGGACGATCCTTCTTTGAATACTTGTATTCGCTTATTTTCCACATCGGCAACGTAGAGTTTGTTCTTGTGACCGATGGCGATACTGTCTGGTGAGAGACGAGATGGAGAAGGATTGGATGATTGTAAGAGTTGATATATTGTTGTTTTGTTTCCAGCTGCGGTAATAGGAATTTTGTTCCATTTCTAACAAGGTTAAACATTTGATGGCAATATAAATGCCCCAAATGAATGTTGACAACAAAATCCTTTGTTTTAGATAAAGCCAATGTTCAAGTACTTGGAAAAGAAAATATATTTGCTTATCCACAAAAAGAGATGTGCAAAGAATTAGCGAACCCAATCGATTATGAACACCGAAAATTTGCATGCAAAAGCGTGGAATCGTTATGTGCACATACATAATTTTCTGCTACTTGGCTCGCATGCCAGTGTGTGGAAACTTCATACATGTGCATGCTTAGTCTTAGCTTTGCAAGCGCATGCAAGAAGGCTGCCAAAAAAAACAAAAGAGAATGCGCCTGAAGGACAGCTGGTAGTATAGCTTGCACGTATATGCCAGAGAGAAACAACATCAACAACCTTTCTCAGATTTGAACTTGATATGTCATATTGAAAGATGAACACAGGTGCCACTCGACTATCTTATGTTATCGATAACGACTAGCGATGATATCCACATAATAAGAGTCAATTCGCATGCATGTACATGGGAGATTATGATCACGGAATACTTCAGAATCTCGCGTGTGTTAACAACTCTTGTTGAAAAATGAAATTTTTCGCGTGAAACAACACATTAACTACGAACAATCGAGAACTTTCAATTCGTTGAGTGGTCTACTGTGGACATGTTCTTTCTTCTGTGTTTAAGCCGCGTGTACATACACGTTTTTATAGACTTTCTGAAATAGTGCATATCAACGTAGGATAAGCTTTTGCATGTTCTCACGAGACAAAATTTCTGCAAGATCCCGCGAGTTTCGCACGCAGATACTTGCGAGGAGAAAATGATTGCTTAATCGTGCGTATTTTAACAAAGATATCATAAATCGCATTTATATGCGTTAGAGATGTAGAATATACCCGTCTGCACCCACGTCGTAGGAGGAAATTTTTTGAAATCATGGCAGATTCTGCACCTCTAATATGCATGTAATTGAACCTGTATACACATGTATACAATGATTTTTGTGTATAAATGTGTGACTCTCAGAAAAATTTGCATGTTCGCGCATGTAGGTAAAAGATAGCATCAATGTTTTGCGTGTACATGCGAGTTCTCAAAAAGTTTTGGCGTCTGCACACATTATTTAGGCTTTCATGATCGACGAGGAACGCATGGAAAAGTAACGATTGTACGGAGCACTACTGAAAAGGTGAATTATCTTTTTGTTTCTTCTACGTAGCATCAATAATTATCTCATGGTCTTTTTCGATACTAAGAGAGTAATAATATGATGTTTTTGACGTCGAAGATATAGTCGAAGACATCAGATAAGATGACTTTCATCACTTTTCATCTGATAAGGAAAAGAAATAGATGAAAATAATGCCTTGTATAGCTGTCTGTTGATCTATCATTACTGTACATATTCAAGTCTTTGGAATGTCAGCTTTCGACCAGATCGCCATTAAGGAAATCCTCAAAAGAAAACTTTCACATTTTACGTCTGCTTTCTCTGAAACTTTTACTCAGAATATATTTTTAGGAAAAAAAAACAATGTCCTGATACTCCTCATCAATTTCATATGCTAGAAATTGAAAGAGAAGCACAACAAGCTTGGAAAAGAATGAAAAATGATAGTTTTTACAAAAAATGTAATCGAAAGTAGAACCTTAAAGGATATTACACATTCGAACTGGCAACGTTTTGACCATTAGAACTGGTCTTACAGAATACAGCAGTTGATTAGTTATTCTCTCAAAAATGGCTACACTGAAATATTCTTACGCAAATAAGAGTAAATAAGAACGTTGGGACATTATTAGCGATCAATTTGTCGAAAATATTCTCAAACCATTGTTCTTGTAATTCAATTTCTAATGATCTATTGTTTCTCTTTCATGATGATAAAAAAAATCTCTTGAAATCGAATTTCAAGTTCTTCAAATCAAATCTATTGCCTATCGAAAGAATGTGTAATAACGCGAGAGCAGAACAAACTAACATATAGAAATCAAAGAAAATGATCTGCTTATCAATAAAATCAATTCGAATTAAACTTTATTTGATTGGATAAAAATCAATAGAGATTTTACTTTTTTTCTGAACGATCAAAACACGCGTTTGATAGACAAGGAAAACATGAGCACAAGTTATGAATAAACTATATCAAATACTAATATACGTTGTGCAGTCGTTGATTGTATTGTATTTGATAAAGTCGATTATTACCATCTTCACTGACTAGAAGACTACCATCCTTCAATACGAGTAATCCGACAGGTCGTCCGAAAGTGTCTGGTCCAGACGGATTAGTTAAAAATCCACTGACAAAATCTTCATAATAACCTAGTGGTCGATTTGTATTGTTGTCAAATGGAATGAAAGCTAGTTTGTAGCCTGTTCCAATATTTCTATTCCATGAACCGTGCATAGCAACAAATGCTCCATTCTTATATCGATCAGGAAACTGTTTACCTGTATAGAATTGCATATCAAGAACAGCAGAATGAGCTTGAAAGAGAACATCGGGTGTTTGTGTTCGTGCCACAAGATCGGGTCGTTCACTTGAACCATTCGAGAGGCGTCGTCTTGGATCAGTAAGATCTGAGCTCATATAGCTGTAAGGCCATCCATAGAAATCATCTTGCTGAATACGAGTGAAGAAGTCTGGTACAAGATCATCACCAAGGCCATCTCGTTCTTGACATGCAACATACAAATCGTTGGTAATCGGATGAAAGGCAAGTCCAATAGGATTTCGAAGTCCGAAAGCAAATGTTTTTCGATTTCTTCCATTGAGACTAGCTTGTTGAACAGATGCGCGTGGAAGATTTTCTACGTTGACATTGGATGCTGAACCGATACCAACATAGATGCGATCAGTTGCTGGTGATATGATGACGGTTCGAGTCCAGTGGCCATATGAAGTATAGGTCATTACAATTTTACCTCTACCCAAAATTTGGCGACTCCCCTTGGTCCATGCATAACGTCGAACACTATCTTGATTACCCACATAGAAGAATCCTTTGGCGAAGGCCATACCATATGGTCGATTGAGACTATTCGATGCGTCAGCAAAGGTTGTGCGTAGATCAGGATATCCGTCATTGTTGGTGTCGAGAAGGCAGGAGATGCGATTCATCCATGGTTCACTCACAAGGATGTCACCGCTAGGTGTGTAGATCAGATAGCGTGGCGAAATAAGTCCAGTTGCGTACAGTTTAACAGAAAATCCATTAGGAACAAAAAGACGTGGATTCGAAGGCACAGGTATGACACGTGGACCTTTGAATGCCGACCATGTAGCGTATGGTGGAGATAAATCCGATACCCTTATATGGATTGGTATCGGAGTGAAAGTCACATTTTCTGCAAGTAGTTGTTTGTAGCAAATTACCAATATTACAGATAAAACGTTAGAACATAAGACCATTGTGTATGTGCTTGTAATTCTACTAATACAAAAATTGATGTATGATCCTTGGCGAAAACGTAGTGATATGAGAAAAAACAGCAGGCAAAAGAATACGTGACCAAACAGCCAAACACTCATATTTTTCAAACAATGTACTATCACATATCGAGAGAAAAACATGCTTTTTGCTTGATTGTCGACATGCTTTTTCCCTACTCTTGTGACTATAGTTTTCATTGTGACTACTCGTGAATAGTTTTGAACTTCCAACAGGGTTTTAGAATAGAGAAACTCACACTTGGTTTCCTACCTTTTATTTACTTGAATACAAATATTTGATTGATCGTTTTTAGACTAGAAAAGTGCAACCCTTAATGATGGTACTTCAGTGACTACAAAATGACATAAAAAAGGTACTTTTAATAGTCGTTTAAAAGACACTTTTATAGTATGCATTGATACCTCATTAAACACGTCATTTACATCCTTCAGGCCTAACTGATGAGAATTTTGTCTTTGTATTGCTTTACTTAAAATGAATTGATAAGTTAGAAAGGAAAGATAAGAATGACTTTGAAGTTTCGTATTCTATTTCACACATAGAGAGAGAAAGAAAATACTAATTCGATTAGAAAGATATGACTTATCTCTTGTTATTTTTTGTTAAATACAAACAATTTCATTTCAAAAAGAAAAATATTTCACCTCACTCTTACTCTATTAATTCTCTTGTATTCTTTTCCCAATGTCTTAACAAAAACCACCAAAGCTAGGTTCATAACTACTTCCTCATGTCAAAAACTCTTCTATGTTTCCTATTCCTACGAATACACTTTTGCTCAATTACGAAATCAATCAGTCTGGCAATCCTCTTGATCTCGCTGTCAAAACCAGACGGCTTTGACCTCTAAATTCAGCGTAACAGCCTGTCATACACTTATTCATATCGACCATACTGGTCAATACGTCACCTTCTTCTATAATATCTCGTATCTCTGTCTCAAAAAAATTGCCCGACGATATTCATCGTATTATATTTGAGATCATCATGAGTTCAAACGATACTCGTGCACAACTGAAAGGATTCTACGAATATCCATTTGAAGATAATTGTCATCTGCTGTTAGATAGTTTTCTTCAACTTCGAATGGCCTTGACATTTGCTAATTACATATCATACGAACTTAATTCAGTGACTTAACCAATTTTACAACAAATCACAAATGGAAGTATATACGTATTGTCATACAGATACACTGATGTCTACATTGAATGCATACTGTGGTGACATGAATCAACTTGATAAAGAAAGTTTGAAAACGATGGAACCAAAGTGTCTGAAGAAGAAAGATAAACTGCAGTCGAAATTTATGAATTATGACGATGAAGTAAAAGCAACGACGTATACATGCAATAGGACTCAAAATACCTATCAAATTAGTGAGAAGAAATTGAAGAAGTTCTTAAATGGAGTTGCGCTAACTAATTATATTCAAAAGTTCTTTGGATGCCAATGAATGAGAATGTAGAATTGAATTGTATTCGTATTTTCATTAAATTTTTAAGAAATAAAAAGCAAAACGAAATTTTTTTTCAGATTTTGAATTATTTAACATTGAGTCTAGTCTTTCTAGTCTTAGTATTTGTTAGCCAATTCTATATTGCAAGATGGAAGAAAATTTATCAGAGCATTTGCAGCACTGCCATGGATTCAAACTGAGAAAGGAGGGGGTCGTTAAGAGGCAAAAACGGCCCCTCGTCGGAATTCGGCCTTGTCTTTCCAATTTTATCAGTTTAGGTGACAGAAGTCTATTTCTATTGAAATTAGACAATTTGATGCGTTCCACATTGTGCACGACTCGACTTAGTTATTCTTCTTTTCTTCATGTTATATAGGACATATATAATGGTAGTATAGTACTTTTAATTATCAGAAACATATCAACCCATTTCGAGTCATAAAGTAATCGATAGATCTCGAAGAGATCTATCAGATGATGGTAAAATATCTAGAGAAAAAGGTGGCTAAGTGAGTCTAGTGGTCGATACAATGGGGGCAGGGTTATATATTACAGAGTGTAGAGTGATGGTAGAGAACTTTTGTCTATGAGAAACATATAGGTCCACTCTGAACTACGTACTAATCGATAGATTTCGATGAGATCTATCAGATGATGATAAAATATATAGAGAAAAAAGTGGGTAAGATACTTCATTGATGCATACGATGCTCATTAATGCCCAAAACTGCTCTTTTAGACTGATTTTGATCGA